GCGGCATTGTATGTAACCAGCCAATTTTTACCCCACTGAGATGTTACAGTTAGATCGGAGGAGAGATCAGTTAGCAATCTCTGGTCATCATGAATTTCGGAGGTGTTTTATCGGTAAAACCAGACATGGGAGTGTTTCGTAATCCTATTATTAGGCTGATGCAAAAATAATGACGTAATAATGTCGTTTTTTGGCGTATTTTGTAACGTTAAAAAACGACATTCTTACGTCATTATTTTTGCACCAACCTAATAAAAGTACTACCCATGGAAAAAAAAAGTTGTCAGTATTTTTGTTATGGCTTCATTTATCCTTTAAATATTCGCATGCAGCTTCATAATGTTTATGTACATTGCAGTCATTCAAAATTTTGTAGCCATCATGACTGATGGATACTTGGGAAAATTATAGCCGCGGTGTTCATTTTATAAGAAAAAAAAATGAAAATTCTCAAAAGACTAATAAATTTTAATTATTGACTTTCAGCATGATTCATGTGAGGGTTTAACCCCAAGAAAAGCAAGGCACTTGTAATGTGATCTCTCCAGATATCTACCTTGCAAAATTCAACAAAGCTAAACTTGATTTAAAAATTGATTTCAAATGTCTGAGAATCTATATATAAAATTCTATGACATCTGTTAGTCCGTCCGTCACACTCTAAAATAGATATACATTGACTGATCGAAGCCAAATTTTGTTGAGAAGTGCAAACAGATAAGCGGGTACAAAGTACAGTATTAAATTGTTTAACTCTCCGTAAGCTGTTTAAACTAGCTGAAATCAGTTGTTTTCGAGCGAAAGCAACGCCATTTTGATTACTTTTTAGGTGTTTTCGTAACTTTACAAACACCACTTTTTAAGAAGGATCGAGTTTGCAAGAACTATAAACCAATCACAAGGCTTAAAGCTTTAAAAGGTTGGGATTTGGCTACATGAAAGAAAAATTTACACATGGCCAATTGATTGTTGCATGCTCAAGAGTAAGAAATCCTTAGAATTTGCTCTTCTCTGTTAAAAAGGAAAGAGAAAAAATTATTGAAAAATATTGGTTCCTTTTAAAAACTTATTAAATCGCGAAGTAAGGTTTTTGTCAAAGTATTTTTCCATGCGAACCATCTTATTCAAATTTTATCGATTGGTATGCGAAAATGAACGAAAAGTACAATTTGTAAATCACGACAAAAATGTTAGCGATACTGTGTGGATTTCAGTACGTGTCAGCGTGTTACAAAAAAAAATTTAGTTTACTTAAAATTCCTTTCACAGAAAAACAAAACAAAACATTGAACGCTTTAAAAAAATATTAATATTTAAGCTTACGACCATATCACGTTGAAACACCCGATCACCGAAGTTAATCGCCAGATCACCGAAGTTAAGTCAACTTTGAGCTAGGTTAGTACCTAGATAGATAACCACTTGAGATACCAGGTGCTGTATGCTTGGATGTGTCGCTAGTGATATAGTTAACCACTCGGGCAGTCGTGTTCGTTATGCGAAAGGAGAAAGGTATGAATCCATCTCTTCTCATCCAGATATGGGTTAAATAGCAGGACAAACTGTCCCTCAGCTGTGGTTTAAATAACTGGAGCCTATAGGCTCCGTTGGCAACCAGTCTACGGCAGAAAGTAACCGTGGGAATTCTTCTGCCAAGTGAATCAAAAATCTAGAAAAAAAACATGATCGCCCAAGCGTACATAATGCCCCCCAAAAAGGATTAATATTTGCGAGATTGCATTATTGTTGAAGTGGAGATATAAAATAAAACTAGATTCATGATTGTCGTCAAACCTTTAGATATTCAATTAAACATTTAAGATAATCACTGAATCTAGTCTCGCTCGATATAGGAACCAAAGGTCGTTTAATGAGTTCATAGTTCAGAGCTTTGCACGCTAACTTGTTCTGTCGGCAAAGCATAAAATACGCCGACAGCACCCTCTAAAATGAGGTAAGATTCCCTAAAAAAAAGCAGGCGACCTTCCGGGTACTAATACATTTGAATATAAACTCGACTTGGGTCCACCTTTTTTTGACTTGACTGCTCTTGGATCTCTATCTATAAAAGGCAGGATGTGTGTGTGTGTGTGTTTGTGTGTGTGTGTGTGTCTGTGTGTGTAACGAATGCACGGCGGCAATTTTCGACGGATTTGCACCAAAATTTACATGCACATGCTCCAAGATAGCGGGAAGACCAAGACTTACTTTGCATTTCCCAACTCCCATCGATAGTGGAAATAATCGATTTTTTCATGCTTCTACGGCAGTTTTCATGTAGTTTGCGGCCATTTTCTATTGGCCAGAGTGAGAGCCTATAGCTGTCTGCCACGAATAGGCAGGAAGATTCTATTGGCCAGCGTGAGAGCCAACAGCTGACTGACGCGAATGTTAACTAGTATGCTAGCATGCAAAAAAAATTGATAGCTGCATTCGTCACAAGTGGGAAAAATTTAAATCTGCATGGCACTTTACTCCAACTGGCTCATTCGCTTGCTTAAACTCAACGTTGATTCTGATTCCGCAGAACTGGGTTGGGTGTGAAAAGGTATTTGTTGTTAACATTCTTTTTCATTCGGTTTTTCCAGTTACGAGTCCTTTTTTAAAGCTGATCATTTTCTGATCATTTTGTTTAGTTCTTTTTTCATAACAGATTTAATGTTTAGTATAAAGCTTAGAAAAAATTCGCAGTGTGAGATAGGCAAGAAGTAAGGCATGTAGCAACATCAGCACGGCAAAGGGCACCCCTTTAAAGGCAAGGAATGGCAAAAATATTTTAAGTCAAGTGATAGCGATTTCTGTATGAGTCGTACGATTTTTGAATCAAGCACGTGCAACGCCGGGCCATGCTGCTAGTCTGTAATAATCAAGTCTACCAACGATTATACTTTTTAAAATTCCAAACCCTTATTTCACCGCTTATTTTAGATAGGCACGGATACAGTTTTCTCTAGATTCGGAACGTTTTGTACACGAATCTGTAAATATAGTTCCTTTTTGTGGGGTTTTATTGCACTTCCGGGGATGATATCCGG